AACAACTGCGTTGGATTTGGAATCTCTAGAAGGGAGGGCGAAACAGTTACCATTTGCTCAAACGCCAGACAGAAGACCCCGGAGACGGCCAAGAATAATTGAGAGGGGAGGATAAGGGCAATGTCTTGAAAGACTTCTCTTCAGTGTCGGGATATATTCTGCCGAATCTCGAATGCCGGCACAGGGTCGGGAACGCGGGTGACACTGTCTGACGTATTTGCCGCCGCGACCAGGAAAGATAATTCACTGAATGACTGCTGTTAATCTACTTCAGCAGCAAAACTTTAGCAATACCTCTCAGTGGTGAATCATGACTTTAAGTAAAGGCTAAAGTAAAAAGAATTAAGGCCATTATAAAACTTATTACTATAGTACTTAGCCCTTCTATACTTAGCACGATATGGTACTGCATCGAAGAATAATATACGTAAGGCGAATGACCTGACCGGGATTCAAAATGAGGTTCGCTCGGATTAAGGCAAAGATTAACGCAGCAACTACAGCCGTCCAAAAAAGGGGTTACCACGAATGGATAGTCATATTGATGGATGATTCATTCGTTCATTTTCGAAGTCAAATATTACGTTCCAATGTCTCCAGTCTGTCGCAAAATGGGTACGTTCGGTGATATGGTTTCGAAAAGATATAAAGATGAATCAGTGTCAGGCTTTCTACATAAATGATTCAACTAATCCGCTCCCCGGAGGGCCGTTTTTCTCTGATTTCACTTTGCAAGTCTTTGAGGTATCATCATCACGTCCAAGCAAATGTCGTTCTCAACTTTCCACTAGCAGAAAAACGGTCCACAACTGAAGGTATCTAGAACCGCCTTATTGCGAAATCTGTCGCCTCGTCAATCCAGCAGTGTGCTGAAGAAATCTCAATTTGACCGCTCGTATCAGAGGACGAAGCTCTTTTGTTCAGTTTAAAGCACCTGTGACTAGTTTCTAAGTTTCTATGAAGAGGTAGGATGTAAACATAGACAGAGATTTACAGAAACACGACATCGCCCTACTGCTTAGCTCCTTGATGACCAAGTGACCAAATCTCTCTTTTAATAGCAGCGTTTTAGTCAAACAACAGGGTTCATATTAAAGGAAATTGTCCATTAAAAACATATTTTATGATGCATAAATTCGTGCCGGCATCTTTTCCCCAAGATATGATAAAATAATTGTGTATCATGTACATTTCTACATATTTGTTGATCTAACCCGTCGAACGTTGTCTACATCTTACCTCCGATTATCTCAAGGGACCGTTAGGCTTTGCTGAGATAAAAATATTGCATGATGAAAAACGCTTACTCCGTTTACCTCGGCCATTACTCAGTTTTTTGTCCGAATCTATGGTTTTCTATGAACACTAGAAACAAGGTTCGTCATAAGGTACGCCAGTTGATGAGGCTCGACAACTTTCGCAAGCTATACCTTCTGCAAGTCAAGAGATCACCATTGTGACGTTTAAAATATTGGTGTGCGTGTGTGGGGATGGGAGGGTGTAGATGAATGTGACTTTACGTGTGCCTCTAAAACACGCAATTTCACAAATTGAGGACGAACTCTTCTTGATGGCATCCGCACGGCTACGGAATCCTCAGCTACAGCAGCACACAATCTGTGTCCGCAGACCTCTGATGTCTGTATACTACCAGATTATAATATGTCAATGTAAGTGGACACATTACTGTAAGCTGCACTATATATTTTCAATGAATGTGATATCTAGATATTACTTTCTTAGTGTTTCGACCGTAACAGCTGTTTCACGTACATTTTATTGTTATTTGCTACGTTATGCCCTTATTTCTTACTATGCGTCGTTTTATATACTTTATTATTTTACCGCATGTTTCTGTCGGAAAAATGGCTTACGTTCGTGATTCCATTTTTGTATACATGGAAGAAGAGATGGCCCAAGAGCAAATCGGGGACCAGACACTGCTTACATCTCGTGTTAGCTATCCACCGTACTTTCAGCTATAAGGTGGGTCAAGGTGAACAGCAGTCAGCCACTGAGCCGGTCATATACAACTTGGCCGTACGTCTAGCCGGTTTCTGGTACTACGACATCAGCCGTCCGTGTGTCCACAAGTTCAGGACTTACAACCTGTTTTAGGGGCTGGTAGCACAGAAGCATCATCATCAGTTATAGTCAATTTACTACCGGATGAAAACCTCTCGTAAATTTTGATGTATTTTATCTTGAGCGATTTTTATCAATGTAAAGGATTTTCCATAGGCTATTTACTATCTCTTGGAACCCAGCTTAATATCTCTTTGGTGTAGCACCAAAGAAACATGGGGTATATTTCTTACTCAAAGGAAATTATGTTTCAGAAAACTTTTGTCATTTTTCGGGAACTGGTTCCCGGCACCTACGGAGTTCGAAGCCGACTTCTGTACAATTGTGTAACTGTGTCCCTGATGACTAAAATATGAGAATGCAGAAATGCTTGCCGTTGGAGTAGAGACTACTGAGCTAATCCGTTTGGCGGCGGGTCGGGAACATAGAAAATTCTTTTCTAAGCAGCTGTCCTATGACTCGAAATGAATAGCAGGAATTAAAAAATAAACGAATCAGTTTGTACCAGGATGATCCTTCTCTCGAGCAGATTTGCTATCTAAACAGAGAGAGGACAT